GTTATCCTTTCTTTACGGTGCTTAGTGGTAGAACAACTGGAGTTCATCTTGGAAAATGCGAAAATTTTCAAGAAAAAAGCTAATTAAAGATAACAACCAATAGGGCACACAAGCTCCGCCCACCAGTGATGGGCGTCCAGTATGTGATTGGACGACTGTTTTTCAATTTTCTTCTATCTGTGGAGCATAGAAATAGATGGCAACATAAGAACTAATTCAAATGAAAAGGCCGGGACTGACTTACACACTGACTTTACTTGTATCTTTAAAATCGTTGAAATTGTATTTCTCTCTACTGCAAAATCCTTCCATTGGAACAGATTTTTCCATTGAAACAATATAAAGCTGGATTTTTGACTACAAAGTTTCACCCGTAAGAATTATATTCCCAAAGATTTTCAGGATTCACGGGAGAAGCAACGTTTTTGTGTTTGCTGGCCATTCGTACACGATCCAACGCTGGCTGTCACCTGTCTTGTAAGTGCCGCCACTCTCAGTGGAATGAACGTCGCAGGTGAGCGTTGAATACTGAAAATCAAATATCGAATTCTCCAAGGGAATCGATGGTCTGCCTAGAGGAGCAAAAATAATCGATTAATCGATTCCTCGTATAGGGTTCAATGTAAACCACTTCGATATCGCTCCTCGTTATGCATCCATACTGATGGGTCTGTCAAATGGTTTTGGAGCTCTTGCCGGCTTGAGCGGATTCATCACGCAGCATCTCACTGTCAACGTACGTTTTTATTGATTTTCGTGAAATTACTATTCATTTTTCCATTTCACGGAGCAAGTGCACAATTTCAACTAACTCAACGGCGTTCTGACGCGCGCGATTTTGTCGTATGAGCAGCAATATGTCGCGACCGAAACTCGAGGGAATCACGCCCCGACCTCATTTTGAATCTATGGCTAAATTAAAATAAGTCACATTAATTTCCTCCTTTGTGGAGTGTCCGGCTGTGAGGCGCGCGGTCGCGTAGCGCATCGTCGCGCATTGCGAACAGTATGAGCATCGATGCCCTTCTTGCTCTTGAAAAAGCAGAACTTTCTTTTCAGAATCCTGCTGGCTGGAAATACTGCTTCCTTCTCGCAATGTCTGTTGATATTTTCGGCATCATCTTCTTCTTGCTATTCGCCAAGGGTGAAATACAGGTAAGATCTGTGTAGATAATCAAGAAATCAGAAAGTTCACCATGTTGACTGTCGACACGTGCGGTAACGAGGCGGCCTGTTGTGCTCACAAAATGCAAGGGGAGGGTCAAAAGTAACTCACTTTTAAAAATGATGTTACTCCTTCATTCCTTCGCAAAGTCAGGAGATTTCTCATGGCTGATATGCCACCGTACGTAGCAAATACCCTAATGCGTCTCAGTGCGCCGGTTACCAGTTCTTCACTTCCTCATAAGAATTACTAGCGCTAAAAATACCGAAATTTCAGGACTGGGCACGAGAGCCTGAACCAGAGGAAACCCTGGGAGAGTTCGTCAGGCGAATTTGTATGTTGTTAATAATTCATTATTATTTTATATTTGTCAACTCAGATGATAAGCCTTCATAAGAATTATGAAGAGGAAACTCAAAATTGTTATTGTTGAATTTATTAATATTTATTGTAATATTTCAGCAACACTAGTCCGCAATATGTCATCAAAACGACGGTCTTCTGGTTCACGCGGGGAAGGCACTCAAATAGACTATGCTCGGTAAGCTTCGTGCAACTATTATTGAAAAATCTTCCACTTTTATTACTTCGCTCAAATAAATCAAGTTCGTGGAGAAACCAGCTCGAAATTATCCCAGGCAGGTGTCAGACTTTGCGACCAATAGCTGGCGAATCGCGCGATTCGCTAACGGTCGGGCGTAGCGTCTACCCTATTGATCGATTTGTGACGGTCAAGACTAGACGTGTTTTAAAAGCAACACTAGAACCATGTTAATGAATGAAATACTCCATACTTTCAGAATGGAGGAAGAACGCAACAACTCGTCCGAAATGGAGCCACGAAAAGGGTCAGAAAGGGAGGAAGTGACGCTCCCTGAGGAACAAGCTCAGGATCCCAGCAAGACCACCGATCGACCAGTTGTTTGAAAGACATGCATGGCGTATCTCAGATCTACAAAGTCTGCGACACCTTCAGGATCCGTAATTCGCACGCCGCCATAGAATACCGTAACTGGTCACTATGCGGTAATCCGGAGCTTCCAAATGTAGCATAATTTGTTGAACTTTGACTTCGTCACTTATTCTTTGTGTTTTCGTTTGTCCTTCTCATCTCTTGAATCGGGTATCCATTAAAGCCCAAAATCTTTCCAATAGGTTATTTCTAATGTTAACCAGAATCCAATTCTTGTTGTCAGTTAATTATGGCAGAGGAGACAAGCACAAGACGCGGGCGGTTGCAGTGCGATTCGGGTGTTGAGCAAGCCACCTAGGTCACGGCTACCGGCAGCAATGGGCTAGCAAACTACTATTAATATGTATTCCTAAAAAGCACTTACAATTCAAAATGGCTTAACTTAATCATTTCTGCAATGTATTTGACTTGCATATTCTATATTGTTCAATGGAAGCAAATACGTCTTCGGTTTTGATGAAGGAAAATGGCGCTAATTGGACCATACAGCCAACTGTGAGTCCTGCACGGAATTTCTATACCGTTGCAGATTCATATGAGAGCTTAAATAAGGCGTGTAAATAGTAATCTTTCTTCTGAATATTTGTCTTATATATTTCACTTAGATGTTTTATTATAACTAGTCTCCTCAGGAATAAATGTATCGCTATGTTGGACGGAGATTCATTGCATGAATCTCACATCGACGCACTTTGCGTAACTTTATTTGTTCCTTTTATTCGTTTTGTTAGTGTAACCAATTGTAGTAATTTTCTTTGGATTGACATATATAGCCATATCTAATTGCATATATTTTCGACATGTCGTGACAAATTGTCGTGACTATTTCTATAAATAGTATTTTCACTGTGTACATGGCTCAGAACACCAGCAACATATTAGGTGTTTCAGAAAGTTCTGTCGTTTTCCAACCCCTAATTTTAAATGCACGTATCTCGGCTTAGACTTCTCGACGCTTCTCTATGCTGATGACGTGATGCTCGCCTGCGAAGACAAAAACGTACTCGAACAACAAGCGCAAGCTTGGT